TGCAAAAAAAATGGATGCGTGTAACTTATGTACGCGCGTGAGAAGTTATACTTCTTTAGCATCATTAAAAATATTTTTTAATAGCATGCAAATAATTAATAATTACAATAAAATAATAAAAGGACTGGAAAAGGATAGTTAACACAGTCAATTAAGTTCAGTTTTAATTTAAAAAAATCAATTAAAATCACTACTGAATTTAAGTTATTAGTCCATATGTAATTAGCACTTGTAAGTAACTAAAACACGTTGTGTCTATAAAGAAACTAGAAACATGTGGATAAATATTATAAATATGAAAACAGTGATCAGAGGCGACGATGACAACGATTATGGAGCTCCGTGGATCGTTCAAAGTACCTTTCGAACAGATGTCTAATAATGGTGGATTATTAACCACTAAGTGGTTAATAATCCACCATTATTAGACACTAACATTCATAACGCGCCCGCGGCCAACTTCATGGTGTTACTATTGTGTCACAGTGATGCGCGCGCATCTCGAAATTTCACTCACATGATTTTTTCATAACGCGCCCGCGGCCAACTTCATGCTGTTACTTTTGGGTTACAGTGATGCGCGCACATCTAAAAATTTCACTCTCATCATTTTTTCAACTAGCCTATTATTTTGTGGTGATCGCTTTCCACTCGTTGCGGTCTTCAACAGTTTTGGTATTGTCGCGGATTTGGTCTGTCCAGCGCATGGGGCTTCTTCCTCTTGGTCACCTTCCCTGTACTTTTCCTGCCACCAGGAGCACTTCGAATAAAGTAATACCTTTACAAAACTTCTTTATAGAACAATAGTCTTCACTAATCCAGGTATTCCAGTTGCTAAAACCTAAAAGGATTATCCTTGCGATCTTGGTGCTTAATACAAACCATAAAACACCGCTTTACCCCTTCAAGGGTTGAGTTTTGGAAAATCCTTTTTTAGCGCATGCAGGTACAACAGTTCTACCTTTTGAAAATTGACGACTCTTTAAATAATAAAACAGGGAGAAAAAACAGCTCTTGCTGAGTTTCTTGCCGGTTCTTCCCAGTACAAGGTCTCCCGCCGTAGATTTACGAACCGATGGCGTAGCTTCTAGACATTCATATGTGCTAGTAACAGCCTAAACTGTATAAATGATTATGTATGATTATCGCGGTATCATAATTGGTCAGTGCATCGCCCGGATAGCAGCGGGTGCAGTCGAGTCCCGTCCGCTGCTGGGCCGCGAGGAATTTTTTCTAGGAAAAAAATTCTTTAGACTTAAATACCTAGCAGCTAAATGCTTTAATATAAAAAAAATATGATAGATATTGATCAAAGTTAAATATTGCATACTTGTCATAATTATACTAATTGGTGATATGTAAAACAAAGTTACTCATAGAATATTGTTACACTGGTTGAGATTTTATGTTATTTTTATGTTATTACTTTAAATTAAATAAGTTGCTCATACTCAATTAATTAATTAAATTTCCACAGACTAGAGATTATTACAGATTTTTTTTATTTTATTATAATTTTTATTATTGTTTGCGCTAAGGCAAAGGAAAAAACAACAGCCTTTACATATTTTTTTTTGTTTGTGGATAAAAAGTAATCCGTGATTGTGTGTTTTTGTTTTTATGACTACTTTTATTCACGGCAACCTCAGGCTCTGCCAGAATGTCAGCGCCGCAGCGGCCTTAGTGTCGTTGTGGCATTGTGCTGAGGCAGGGACCTAGTTGACCTTATTCTGTTTTTTTTTTGTTTTATTTATGCTTTGTTTGTTGGTCAATAAATTATTTCTTTCTTCCTTTCTTTCTTTATATGGACTGCTGTTGCCCGAAATAAATATTTTTTACTTTTTATTTTATTATACTAAATAAATAAATGAAATGAATTTGTTTTTTTTTTTGTTTTTAAATGGGGTGAATGTTAATAAACAAACAAAGTCCAGATCAATGTGTAGTTAGGGCACACCGCACCGCATTCGTATCGTAGCCACGTAGGTAGTTTAAATTAATATTGAAGTCAAAAACAAAGCGCCCGGGGATATGATTAATGGTTGTACAAAGGATGCTATATATTAGGAAAGGCGTGCTTTTGACAGCTCTGGGTGGTAAGAAAGCGCGGGGGTGGGGTGCGGTGCAAGTCACAAGCGGGTAACGGTCTACGGTTTAATACGATCTTCTTTTAGACAGATCGAAATAGATAAATATTTGTTTCTTAGGTTTTCACGCACGTCACTCTTTAAATAAAACTAGTTTTAACGGGTTAATATGCACGAACTTTATTTATTTATTGACGTTTCACAGCCTTTTCAGGTCGGCATCGTCAGAATAATATTTTTTTTATTTACTTTGTCGAGATACCTTCGAAAGACTTTTATTGAGCGTTCGGATATTTCATTTGAAGATTTTTAAAACTTTATTGTCTATGTATTAATTTATGTTAGTACAAGGTCTCCCGCCGTAGTTTTGCGAACTGATGGCGTAGCTTCTTGAAATTCACAAGTGATTGTAACAGCCTAGACTGAATAAATGATTTTTGAGTTTGAGTTATCAATACCGGACCGGACGTCAAAAAATATTAAACTATGTTATATCAGCTATGTAATTTAAAGGAGCTCAATGACGAGGGTGTTTATCGCGTTGGGCTGCGTTCGTTGAAGTTAAGCTACTTTCGCAGTGGTCGGTTGGGTGATCAACAATCTTCTATCTCGAGTTCCTCCATGCTTCGGAAGGCACGTTAAGCCGTTCCACACTGGGCCCGCGTGGTGGGTCATGGCCCAATCTCCCTTTTCCATCCATAGAGAATGCCTGTGCCCCAGCATTGGGGACATTGATAGGCTGATGATGATGATGATGTCATCATTAGCTTAATAAAGCTGTACAAGCGATATACCTGTAATAGGTAACCGGGATTCATGCCTTTTCACCACTTACTTGTTCTCTTGAGTACTCAAAATTTGACACGCTCAGTTCCATACAATTTAAAGTACATGCGGCTTCTACTCCAATATAGGTCTGTGCAGTCTGTGGTAGTATATAACATTACAGTGCGACCAAGATCATTATGAATGTGAGTGTCAGCTCTGGGTGGGCGCCACATTTTTTTTTCTATGTAAATCATTTTAATTAACATAATAAATACCTATGACGTTTACTAAGTCGGCAGCGTTAATTTCAATTTTCGCCACATTCATAAAGGTCTTAGTAATAGAAAAATATGGTAGATAGAAACTTTTTTCTTTTTTTAAAGAATAATATTAATTACATTCTTTCAAAATTTGCTTTTACAAGGTGTCGCTTAATGACCGATGCTCTTACAATATATTTTTGATGTCTTTTGTGTCTGCTGTGATTTGGCCAAAGCTTTTGATTGCAATGAAACATTAATTCGAAAACTATTAACTACTTTGTATTTAAAAGTACCACTACCTCAACTGAATCTCGTTAAGTCATTTTTGAGCGATATGATCCAGAGAGTGGATATCAATGGCAACAGATCTTCCGATTCGTTATTAAACATGGGTGTTCCTCAAGGCTCGATTCTTGGTAGATTCTTTTATTTTTAACTAGTAGCACCGGCAAACGTTGTATCGCAATTGTTATTTTTGGTGAATATTTTCGAAATTCTCGATTGTTTATCTTATTTAACTATTTATGCTCGGTGACGATGTTTTGTCAATTTATTGAAGACTAACTAAGTGGCCCGCCATCGCTTTGCTTCGGTGTAGAACTGTGGTGTAGGTATACTATAGTTTTTGTTCTCAGGCTTGTATTATACACAATGAATTTCTTAATATAATTATAAAACTTCCATGAAAACTTTGTTAACTGATAGTGAAAATTTTGTTGCGTGCTTTAGGACCCGTTATACCGATTACACCATTTTTTTGGTTGAACGCGTAAATCTCAGGAACTAATGGTCCGATTTGAAAAAAAAACATTTTTAATGCTGTATGTTTCCCTAAATAAATAAATGTAGGATAGAGGAAGATAGACTTATATCAACGGCTTTCCTTGGTAATAGATAATCCCATGATAATATTGTTTATTAAAATAATTAAAAATTTGTATTACCTAATGCCATTAAATTATAAAGTTGAATTCTCTCCAAGGTGTGGGACGTACCTTTGGTAAATCTAGCATTACTTCTATCAAGGGTTAGTAGAAAATTAGCAAGAGCTTAAGATCTCGCTGTTCGCTCATCGCTCGCTCCGCTCGCAAGCAATCGCGGACTATCCCTTATTCTACTTATAATGGTGTGATACGATTAGGAACGGTTTACTCGCCTCTTTAGCATCAGCCGGAATAATTGCTTCCATTGACTTATAATTGCGCGTCTTCGATAACAATATTGCATTTTATTTGAATCGACTTTACCTATAAGACAATAGGGATGATGAGACACATATTTACTTCGTTTAACAGGTTGATTATTTTATTAAAAAGTATTGGACATGTATTTTTTCTGACGTCGCATTCCTGCAAAGGCTACGAAACGTCAATAAATCAATAAATTTAGTGTATTTTACCCGTTGATCTTGTTTTATTTAAAAATATAAATTACAAATAATTATAATTCATTTAAATGAAATTGCATTGATGAACGAACGTGTACATGTAGTACAACAAAACAGAGTACAATTACTTTTCAAAATCAATGACAGATAAAAATATTTTTTCCCGCGTGAAATTGTTTTTTTTTTATATGAATACCTAACCTATTCATATTTATTTAACTCTTGAAAAAGATGGAGGGAAAATCTTGAATTTGGAACGTTCAGTTTTTTTGTAAGAAATAGTCGTACTTCTATTTGACCTCAAAACCAGCCAGGATCCCAAAGACAAAAATTGTTAGTCTCAAAACTTCCCCCCTTTACTAATAAACGAAGACTAAGCTTAGATAAGTTACTCTTTATTTTGTCTCTGTTCATTGAACGAAAAATCTGTGGCAGCAGTAACAGTACAAGAATTAAGTTTACACATATAAAGCTTTTGTTTTTGATTTGTTACAGAATATCGGCACCCCATCATAGGTCAGCCGTGGCCCATAGCCAAGCCCATCGCTAGTCGACCTATTCCGGTACAGCATCAGCACCTTCAACACCTATTAGCACATTGTCATCACCCTTATTTAGCAGGTGAGTCTTATTATATTATTATTTTTGAAGACCTCCGTGGCCCCTGTTCGCATGATCACGGAGTAACAACGTTACTTCAAAAAATCATAAACATGGCGCTTGCAGCAGTGCCGAAATAACGAAAACTTGCTAAAAAACAAGATACATAGTAACAAAAAGCTAGCGGATACTTTGTTTTTATTTCACTCCTAGTCCAGTACCCTTAGTACCAGTTTTACAATTACGAAAACTATGGTAGTTTTCGTGAGCTCGCACTCGTACTACGGGTACTGATTTTATTGTTTTCGTTTCAATACAAATAAACAGTGTTTAAATTCTATCATAAAATCATTTGCGTCTTCTTAAATTTTAAGTATATTTGGTTACTTTTCACCAAAATGGGCATACAAACATAATTTACAATTACGAAAACTATGATAGTTTTCGTGAACTCAAACTCGTACTAAGGGTACAGAATGAGAATACAAAGATAAAAATTTCCTTTCACAATTAACGAAATCAACTTTTTTTTTATTCCCAACAGGCTACCGCGAATATCTTACACTAGGCTCTACAAAAAACTACACATAATGCCATAAATGCAATCCATAAAAAGATTCTAACACAATACAACAATAGTCAATAAATCCAATAATACACTATTCACACAGTGTTATTGGCTATTAAAACGTCATACATTTGATGCCGAGCATTTTTTTTTGTGCAAATATACTTACTTAATCCAATTCCATCATTTCGGCGGCAAAATAGTACCAATATGTAATAGACAAATTGTCTCTTTTTAAATGCAATGATTTCACCAAATGCGCACGTTAATACTAGGATACAATCAATCTTGACGACCTCCGTGGCCGAGTGGTTTGTACGCCGGGTTTCATGGTGTCGCCAACTCGAGAGGTACCGGGTTCGAATCCCGGTGGGGGCAGATGTTTGTGTGATGAATACAAGCATTTGTACTCCAGTCATGGGTGTTTAATATGTATTTCTATATAAATATAATTATATATGTACAGTTTATGTATTCTATCCATTACCCTAGCATCCCATAACACAAGCTTTATAGTGCTTACTTTGGGGCTGGGCTAATTAGTCTGAGTGTTGGAACTATTTATTAAAAAAAAATGGGAATATTTTAACATTAAAGATGTTTTTTCGTTCGCTCCAGTAGGCCCCCATTTTTGCTGAAAGTGCGACTCGCCTGTGATACCCCTAGGTTTAGGGCCACGAGGACGTATGAGAGCCTAAAAGACGTAGAGCTGTAAAGTATCCAGATATTTGGTATTCGTATGTATTCGTTACTATCGATACTAGTGTGAAGCACTGCATTGATCGAGTCGAGTCGAGTTACGTATAATATGAGATTGTACGTTTAAATTAAACTTGTTTCAATTTCAGCTTCAAACTTTGTCTAATCAATTTTCTTAATTACTATACTTATAATAGTATACTAGCATATTATATATTATATTACGTATATATTATGAATTTGATGACAGTTGAACTTCAATTCAACTGTCATCAAATTCATAATACTTCTTATTTAACTGTGGAACTCTTGCAGTATACAAATTTGTTGTTGTATAAACAAACATTTTTCGTAACGAGTGTTTAAATACATTCGATTCAACGAACAATATTAAGTATTTGTTCATCACGAAACATAAGGTGATACAACGCAAGATGAGCAAACCGTTTCAATTCAAGCATCAACGTTACATGCGCAGTTGAATTCTTAAGTCCGTACACAGAATCAAATTGACATCATCAGTACCCATAGTACGAGTTTTACAATTACGAAAACTATGATAGTTTTCGTGACTCGCACTCGTACTAAGGGTACTGATTTTATTGTTTCGTTTCAATACAAATAAACAGTGTTTAAATTCTACCATTAAATCGTTTGCGTCTTCTTAAATTTTGAGTATATTTGGTTACTTTTCACCAAAATGGACATAGAATCATATCATTATTTACAATTATTACGAAAACTATGAACTATCATAGTTATATTCGTGAGCTCAAACTCGTACTAAGGGTAAGTACGATACATACGAGTAACGAAATGTATTCGTGAGTAACGATTCGTTACTTGAAGTTAGGGGATGTACCCGTTACTTGGTAACGAATAAATACGGTTTGTTACAGCTCTTAAAAGACACGGAATTTGGAGGAATTTAAGAAAATAAAAAATATTTTGGAAAAGTCAAAAATCTTCTTTTTGATAATCAAAAAAAACCCCCGATTTTTTTGACCGACAAATCGTGTGTTTTTACAGAAAATTTCCGATATCTCGAGAAACGGGCCGAATTTCAAAAATATGAAAAAGAAAACACCTCCGTATTGGTTTAGAGAATTATGTCAGAAAACAAACATTGATTTAATGCGACATCCTAAAGACGAATGAATTTTCTATAACAATGTACCTAATGAAAGTTTCAGTTAAGAAAGTAACACAAATTCCATCTTTGTAGGTAAAGGTTACCATAGACATCCCACAATTGCACTAACGTACAATCTTACCGCTACAAAGCAAACTTTTTCATTTTTTATCTTTTTATATTAAAAAAGAGGACCTCCCATCATTCAGCCAGACCGCTAAGCCAAAAGACAGAGCTCCATTGTTACAATTTATAACAATGTTTGTAATAAATAGCTGGATGCTTACAAAAGGAACGTAACGCCCAATTTGGCAAACGTTTTATAATAACAATACGTGTTTGATAATCTGTATCATAAACATTGAGGGCAGTAAGCCTTACTTTTGATCTGGGCTGATGGTTAAAGTAAGTATTATGTTTTTTTATAGGACGATAAATATTTTTTAATATTACCTTTTTAATATGGTGTTTTGACAGCTTGGCATCATTACTCTGTGATGATATTCAATGTTTTGCTCACTATGAAATATTATTATATTTACTATTATACTATAATTATTTAATTGTTTTTCTATATAAAAACAATAACGATTGTAGAGTTAGTGTTAACTTTGATTTGTATTGTCTAAAAATAAATGATTTATTTATTATTATCGTTATGAACTTTGTATCTTATGTGTAACAAACAACAAAACAATGGTGATGGGATGATGGGCGTGATTTTCTAAAGTTAAAACAATATTTAACATCAGTCTCTCCTTTTCATTCTGTATAGAGAATGACAAGGATATACTGCTGTCAACTTTGAGTTTAGGTTTAGAGAATCATGCTAGAATCGACACCAATATCGCAATTAAGCAGATCTAAGCTGTCTACTTTTAAAAATTCACAGATCTCGTGCTCTACACGACTTGAAAGGGCATTGAAAATGAATCTAGCTATTATAGATTATTAAAAAAATAAAAAACCAACTTTTCCAAAACATTTTTACATCAAATAAAACTAGTTTTAACGGGTTAATGCACGAAACTTTATTTATTTATTGACGTTTCGCAGCCTTTTCAGGTCTGCTTCGTCAGAATATGCTGACGTTAAAACTAGTTTTATTTAATGAGTGATGTGCGTGAAAAACTAAGAAACAATAGTAGATTGTTAACCGAGGGTGGAAAGAATCAATTCCCGAGGTATTTAGACGCCCGAGCGCAGCGAGTGCGGCTATAGTCCGAGTAGGAATTGATTCTTTTACCCGAGTTAAACACTGTACTTTTCATTTCGAATATGACGAAAATAAAACTAGTTGTTAATCAAAAATATTTTCATAAATAGGTATAAATATAGGTACAATAAAATTAGAAGTAGCTATTTAAAATTAATTGTCATATTAGGACAATTAGTGAAATTAAAATTACATTCTTGTTTGGAATGTTTATGCTGTTTGATATACTATTACAAATTTGGCTGTTTTGGATATCTGTAAAAGTAGGAGACTATGTTATTTCATCAAACGATGGATTCCATAGCGGATACTCCCTGGAAGTTTGAAGAAGAAGTGAAGAAGACAGTCCATTAAAATATGTAAGAAATACACTTTCGGAAAACGATTTTATATTCTTCTCTGCTCGCCACTTTATAAAATCATTGTATGTATTCATATATCCTCTTTTGACATTTCGGGCAAAAGATTCTCTATAACACAATTTGCCTCGTCTTTAATTGAATCCGGTGTCAACATTTCTGAATCGCTTAAACTCATTTTTAATATTTAAATTTAGATTGCTCTGTTTTACTTATAAGATATTTTTTTATTCCGTCACAGTCAAATAACAGTTTAGTATCCCGCCAATTTATGTCGACTTTTTAAATTTAAATATGGAACAGCGTAATTGTTGCGGCTTATTCCGCTCAAAGAAGTTTGTGATAAGTTCACACTGGCTGTTTAGAAACTCACATGGCATCATATTTTTTTTTTACATAAAACTCTTCACACCTGACAGTAGTTCTATTTTTAAAGTTCATTCCGGCCCTTAGGCGGGAAGTAATTTGTATGAGTTTTTCCATCTCTAGGGAGGGAAGCAGCATTTTCCACCCAACAAACAGATCAAAACAACACCACTTTCCGAGAATGAGAAATGAAAATATATTTTTACATCATCTTAAAGCCCTTCGAATTCCGCGTCTTATAAGCCTTCAAACGTCGTCGTGGCTCTAAACCGCGGGGTATCACGGGCGAGTCGCACTGTCAGCGAAAATTGGGGCCTACTGAAACTTATGAATGAAAATTGGGGCCTATGAAAAAATATTCAGGCTATCATGGAAGATCTCTATAACGATTTCCTTACATATGGCATGATAGAACTTTGAATTAAGTACGCAGCTTCAGTCGCTTAAACAATTTTTTGTCTATCTTTTATGCGTGTCGAATTATCGCCTCTCAAGCTATCGTCTAGCGTCTATTGACACTCAGCCCGCTAATTTATTACGACACAGAACTTATTAAAATTTCGAATGCAAATTTTACCGAATTTAGTTAGTTCCAAAGTCACCCGAAGCTTCATCGCCGAGAAGCATTATAGTGGTTAACTTAAAACTAAATTTAACATCAGTCTCTCCTTTCACTCTGTATAGTAAAATGTTTTTCTTTCTAGAAAAGAAGAAGAATCTTCTTTTTTTTCTTTTTTTTTATGGCATGCACGGTTTGTGCGTTCAGCCAATGTCAAGTAAAATTGTTTCATTCTTTCTATAGAGAATGACAAGGATACACTGTTGTCATTTTTTTTTATTTTTTTTATAGCGAGGTAGGCAAATGACTTTACCCCACCTGATGTTAAGTGGTGATAAAGTCCAAACGCGAAGATAGCTGGTACAGCAGTTATAAACTGCTACACCAACCATCCTCACCTTGCCGGCCTGCAAAATGCTACATCACGCCTCTCTTAAAGGTCCCCAGATTGTAGGAAGGAGGGAACACGTGGGTTAAGTTTAGGTTTAGAGAACAATGCCAGAATCGACACCAGTGAGGCTAAGATATTGTGGCACTTGGATGACATTGACAGGAGGGCGCTGCTGTTGAATAAGTGGTGATATGAGGATTACTAATTTAGGTACTTAAATATTTTTTCTTACTAAAGGGAAAGTAAAAATATAAAGAAAATTTACTAGAAAAAAATCCACGCTGACAAGGTAGCCAAAGGCGGATCCAGGGGGGGGGGGGGGGTCATGGGGGTCATGACCCCCGCTGGGCTGGGTACAGATGGACCAAACCCAGGGGGATTTTATTTAAGTACTTTCAATATTTAATATACCACGACTATATGACCTCCCCCTGGCGCCAAAGCTGGATCCGCCCTTGCAGGCAGCAGACGGGACTCGAACCCTCACGTACCCTCGCTATCCGAGCGCATGCACTGACCGTTATTCTACCGCGGCTCTGATGGCCGTGTCGAATTTTCTCTAGTATTTTCTAAGCTGCAAGGCAGCGCCATCTCTTCGCATTGTAGGTAACCCACAATGTCAATTTTCTCTAGACTTATTTATTACTTTCTCAAAATTTTTTCCACTCAGGCCACGAGCCTCAAGATCTTTATTTCTTTTTATTTATTTATGCTACCGCGACAGAGTACAAATTGAAACTTAATTAAATCAAATATGCAATTACAATCAGTAAAAGAAATAATTAAATATGTATGTATTAATTAATCAAGTATTATAAGTATTAATAATAAAAATCAATTTAATTACAATTTGCTCCTGCATATTCGTAAGTAGGAGGACGAAGATATCCACGTCTTTGGCTATTTCATTAAGGGCCCTGCTCATTCTATATATAATGGGTCATTGTAGGTAACATTGTTACTACAACTTGGTACGGAGTAAAGTCCCTGCAACCTTCTACTTCGTCCCACTTTAAATGAAAAACGGCTCACCAGATCCTCGACGTCCCAAACAGAGTTTTCAATTTTATAAAATGTCGATACATCAAGGGCGGATCCAGGGGGGGGGGGGTCATGGGGGTCATGAACCCCCCCCCCCCCTGGGCTGGGTACAGATGGACGAAACCCAGGGGGATTTTATTTAAGTACTTTCAATATTTAATATACCACGACTATATGACCCCCCCCTGGCGCCAAAGCTGGATCCGCCTTTGCGATACATTCTTGGTCGCACTGTATTAATTGTCTATGATTTGTTGCAGTAAGACCGACGCAAGCGCACACTCAAGTTTTCCCTTTGCCTGGTGGTTTTCCCTGGGCGCACAGTTCGAGAGGTGAGCATATTGTCGAACAATATAATTTAGCAACATAGTTTTTTCGCTAAAAAGCGTAGCAGGATGTTGTTTTTTATAGCGAGGTAGGCAAATAACTCTTGCCCATCTTATGTTAAGTGTTGATAAAGTCGAAACGCGAAGATAGCTGGTACAGCCAGACCCGTCTTTCCCAGTGGGCAATTTGGTCACTTGCCAAGGGCCCCGCGGTCGATAGGGGGCCCCCTCAGATCAAATACAAATTCCCTAGTTCCTGTTGCATCACCAAACGGAAGTCATATGGGCCCCATTTTCTTATATGCCCAGGGCTTCCAATAGGTCAAAGACGGCACTGGGTACAGCAGTTATAAACTGCTACACCAACCATCCTCACCTTGCCGGCCTGCAAAAATGCTTCTTCACGCCTCTCTTAAAGGGCCCAAGATTGTAGGAAGGAGGGAACACGTGCGCGGGCAAAGAAGTCCACTTACGAATAGTCTTACAAAGAAACGAGTCACCAAATTTCTTTGTTCGTGTAGGAATAGTGGCCGCAGTAATTCGGTGGTAATGTAGGCCAGAGCGCGTGGTCCTCTGAAGAAAAGGTGATGGAGGGATAAGGGAGAATAACTCCTCAGAACACTCGCCGTGTTATAGTCGGTACAATGCGCTCATTGGGCATTGGTTCTTCTCAGTAGTCAGAGGTCCAAGCAGGAACCTTGACAGATGCTTAATCGTATAGTAATCTAAAGTGAAATTTTATCCAATTTAAAAGTTAATATGCTTATCATAATACAAAATGTCGGAAGGCCAAAGGGAAAAATCTTCCTCCGAGCTTTGTGATAATACTTCGGGGGCCCACGGTCAGACTGATGTTTCTTTTTTTGAGTGTGTATGCTGTTTGTCGCAGATGACCTGTACAGCGTCACCGGGGACCTTTGGGGAGATCAAGCCGTGAATTGGCAAGTGTCTCTAGAGGTATTCCAGGCGGATGGCATCTCCCCTCGGGGGCAGTTTCCTCTCCGTCTGGAGCCTCTAGACCACTCGAATCTGAGGGGGATTGCCTCTAGAGGTATTCCAGGCGGATGGCATCTCCCCACGGGGGGAGTCTCATCTCCGTCTGGAGCCTCTAGACCACTGGAACCTGAGGGGGCTCCGACTGACGTTATTTTTTTTGAGTCTGTATACTGTTGGTGGCAGATGACCTTTACAGCGTCACTGGGTTTGGGGACGGCGGGATTCTAAGGGGACCTCAAGCCGAGAATTGGGGAATGCCTCTAGAGATATCCCAGGCGGATGGCATCTCCCCACGGGGGGAGTCTCATCTCCGTCTGGAGCCTCTAGACCACTCGAACTTGAGGGGGTCGGCTCACCTAGAGGGCGTCTCTGAGACTCGTACCTCGGCTCTTATTAGCCGAGGTACGTAATCTGTACCTGATATAGCGAGTCGTGTGTAGACCGGCTCTTCGCACTCTTATATCCTACGGGTGCGGTGTCTGCCTAGTGCTAAGCTAGTGTGCAAGTATGCTAGCTGGGTAGTGTCGGTGCTAGTGGCCGGTGTGGGTGATTTCGTCGTCGGGGTACTCTAAGACGTGCCTAGGCCGACGGAATCGAATGGACTGACTGATGTTGGTCGGGCATTGCATATATGGAGTGTTAGCATCGGAATTTCATCTCTCGACCTCCGAACTACCATCACACAAGCCCATTAATGTCCCCACTGCTGGCCAAGCCTTTCCCTATGGATGAAATAGGGAGATTGTGCCGTGACCCACCACGCGGGCCCAGTGCGGATTGGTGGGTGCTAATGACTTAACGTGCTGTGCACGGAGGAGCTCGGGATAGTACATTTGTGGTCACCTATCCAATGACCGACCACTGCGAAAGTTGCTTAATTTCAACGATCTTGCGCCATCGAGCTCCTCGAGAAAAGTTGCACTATAATATATATGTGTATCTATGTTATTTTGTACATATATTCGTATTTAGCCATTCATGTTTTTCATTTTTCCCAAAGGTTGACTGGAAGAGAATGCTTTCAGCATTAAGTCCGCCTTTTGTACCATTGTTATATATTTTGGTCAATAAAGTTTAAATAAATAAATATTTATTCGTAACCCAGGTAAACCTCGTCGTGGCATGATGAGGAGAGCTGTGTTCTCAGACCTGCAGAGGAAAGGTCTGGAGAAGAGGTTCCAGGTGCAGAAGTACATCTCCAAGCCGGACAGGAAGAAATTGGCGGAGAAACTGGGCTTAAAGGATAGCCAGGTATGTTAAATTGTTTTTTTGTCAGTCGCACTGCACATAGTACCTAGGCAGACCTTTTTTTTTATGAAAGTCATTTTTTTTAATAAAAAGCTTTCTGTTTGCAAGCCTCATTGTTTTTTTTCTTTTATTTTGGCAACAAACAGTCATATATTTTACAAAAGTAACTTATGTTAAACATTTTTTATGAAATAGACCTAACAGTGCCTAAACACAATATTAAAACAGTTCTGAAGTTAGGACATGGTCCGCTAATGAAAATCCAAAAATTAAACCATTACAGTACGCTATTGTGTGACGAACTATTTATATCATATGCATATACATATATTTGTGTTTGTGTACACACATATACATACATACGCATACGCATGTTCATAAGACCTTTGATAAGTTACCAACCTCCATCAACGTCACGATAAAATTGACATTTTTAAAAATATTCTACATGATTTTCTCTTACTTAGATCCTAGTTTGCTATATCTATAAACATATAATAATGCATAGTATGTATGTGTATATATTTGTGTAGGTATATGTTATTTATTTGCTTATAATCTTTATATGTTCTAGAAAATATGTATAATAAATATTTCCAACACTCACACCAATTAGCCTAGCCCCAAAGTAAGCACTGTAAGGCTTGTGTTATGGGATACTAGGGTAACGGATAGAATACATATACAGTACACACAGATATAAGTAAAATTTTAAAGGATTACATATTAAACATCCATGACTGGAGTACAAATGCTCGTATTCATCACACAAACATCTGCCTCCACCGGGATTAAAACCCGGGACCTCTCGAGTCGGCGACACCATGAAACCCGGCGTACAAACCACTCGACCACGGAGGTGTATATTTCTTTGTTTTATCTTGCTGGCATACTACAACTTCCTCTTCGTTTACCTATCCTATACCGCAAAGGTTGTCTGGAAGAGATCGCTTAAAGCGATAAGGCCGCCTTTTCCCACATTATGTTATTGTTTACTTTTTTGTATTCTTTTGTGTGTGTGCAATAAAGAATTTATCTATCTATCTATCTCAATTGTTGCTATGCTTCGAAGTAAGAGGGGCTATACACGTTACAACGGTCGCACGGACTTCGGTCGTATGCGACAAGTTCGATCGTGAATGGATTGGTCGTAGACCGGACTGAACGACCAAGATAATGTCGCAGGTCCATTGAAATACTTATCGAACCGTGTGGTTACCGACGAAACATCTTATACCGGCCTTAGGGTGCGGCCAGAGTGCACTCAGATTCAGATTCAGATTCAGATTTCGAAAACAAGCGCGAGAAATAAACAGTGTAGTCGAAGGGTACGGCCAGAGTGCACTCAGATTCAGAGTCAGATTCAGATTCTGAAAACAAGCGCGAGAAATAAACAGTGTAGTCTAAGCAGGTTGCCTGCTTTTTCTCGCGCTTTGTTTTCTGAGTCTGCCGCACCCTTACACACTACGAGAAATCGTTACGATCAGACTGTACAGTTCGAACGGAACAGTTTATACGATATCGTTTAGTATAGGAAACTGTGTAGTTTTATAACATACACGCTACGATTTATCGGTACCGTTCGAACTGTACAGTCTGATCGTAACGATTTCTCGTAGTGTGTATGGCCGGTATTATGGCGCAAGTAAAACCGATTTCTGGCGTCGTGACGCTCGTCCGTAAAATGCAATATATAGAGTCTGTACGGAAAGAGAATGGGCGTGGCGAAAAACGGAACTAACATTAGGATTTTTATTTGGCAATCAAACCCAGCAATCTGTAAAACGTCAAAGTTTTGTATTGATACGGATTTGTTTGTTGTTGTGATTTCTTGCGGTTTTTTTGTATAAATTTAATCATGTCTAAAAGGGGTAAAGCTTACAAATACGGTAGAAAAGCACTCCAGCGCCCTCCAATCTAAATCCCATTCAGTACGGGGCGCCAGCGCCTTTCGAGACAGCATCTATTTCATTGTTTACCGCACGCATCCCAAGCAATGAGGGCTATCGCGTATGAATCCGCCGCTAGAGGCGCTAGTGTAGCGTGAGGTCTCCGAAATGTCAAATGTTATTGCTTGTGGGTTGACTACGCGGGTTTATTTCTAATTAAAATAATGTTGCGAATATATGATAATAAATCGGGTTAATTATGGCAAATATGAGTTACGTGGCAATGAATGTCAGTTATTTAAAAGCGGATCTAAGAAAAAATATTATGTCCTCCTTTATTTTCCAAACAAAACAGAACTGCGGTATAGCCGTTTATATTTAAGATACGGTTCCTTTGTATTAAATTATGATTTAAATGTAAACTTTGAATTCACGCACGTATTAATAAAATTTAAAAGATACAATTCAGGACCTCAGTCAACAGTGGCGCCATCTAGTGAGACAGAAAACGGTAGCCCTCATTCTCCGAGTGTATTTATCGTAAAACGGCTAGTGTTTCACATCTGCCACGAGTCCCGTGACGACTCACATTTATTTCTCCTTTAATAGATCGCTTCATTTTTAAATTACATGACAGATATGTTACTATGTAATTTATTTGGTCGCTAAACGCCGACAGATAATTATGGATTTTCATAACCGACCTAGACTGAATAAATGACTTTTCATTTCATTTTCATTTCATTTCATAAAACTTTGCCGGTCGCTGTTCGCATGTATTCGGCCAATACATCAATTTAGATTTATCCCGAAGAAGGTTGTCAATATGTAATGCTAAAATTTTCAAGCATGTCTGAGAAAGTTCAATATCGTTTATTCAGTTTAGGATGTTACAAGCACTTGTGAAAGTCGACTTATTTTCATGCCGGGTTAGGAGTATGAGGCCTGTATTACAGAGTGACAACTAAGTGTTGATCTTTACTTGAGTACAGTTAGAAAGGGATGTCGCTATGTGATATATATAGCGACAGCCCTTTCTAACTATGCTCAAGACTAGATTTATTACTGAGAATCGTTCTATAATACGGGCCTGAGAGTGCCAGCTGCTAATTTATACAGTCATCATCATCATCATCATCATCAGCCTATTAATGTCCCCACTGCTGGGGCACAGGCCTTCCCTATGGATGGAATAGGGAGATTTGGGCCATGACCCACCACGCGGGCCCAGTGCGGATTGGTGGGTGCTAACGACTGCAGATGCAGCTGGGATTAACGTGCCTTCCGAAGCACGGAGGAGCTCGAGATAGTGATTTTTGGTCACCCATCCAATGACCGACCACTGCGAAAGTTGCTTAAGTTCAACGATCGCAGCCGAAGGCGCTAACCACTTATACAGTATTAATATGAAAAGGCTATTAAACTTTTATTAAACATTGTTATTAAACAATGTTATATGTAAGGGGTATACCTTTTGGTTAGGAACATTCACTCTATCATAAAAACTCAGTTCCTTCAAAACTTAAGTGAATTTGATTAACAATATTTTCCTTAAATTATAATACGTTTCATTTTAAGAAAAAAGGAAATACTTAATTTGACACGAGTATTCAGTACCCCTAGCACGAACCAAAATCGAATTCGTATCGCTGCGAGTCCGAAATGTCATTGTCAAATGTGTACTGATTTTTAGTTCTCTTTGCGTGCTTTGTGGCGCTGCTGTTCAAGTTTCCATACAAAATTTGACATTGACATTTCGGTTTGCAAACTATTCCAATTCTAGGCTAGTGCTAGGGGTACAGATCTTTTTTCTTTTTATCATAAAAAAAACGAGCGAGCCTTACAGTAGTCGCGTATGATGACGTAACATTTGAAACCTCACCTTATATTAGTAAAAAAAAAGAAATAAAACCTACTACAAAAGGAATAAGCCATTTGAACATTATGTTCTAAAATCAAATCAAATAGCGCGCGCTTTCGCGACTTCCTGTTACACACTCGCGTCCCAATTCACGAAATCACTCCCACAAATTGCAGGAAAGCGAGAGGAAAGATGTTACACATCAAAAAACCTTTTATTTCGAACACCAAATAAGTCGACTACCTTTCCATTCGACATTTGAAAATTTGAATTCAACCTTAAACGTCAATTTTCCCGCTTAAAAAAGGCAACGGGAGAGGCGCGCCATAATCCTTCTCGATTCTAACTTGAATATCGAATTCACCGCTCGGTAATTGTTTTAAAGCTCCTTTTGGGGCGTGGTCCCCCTAACTGCTGTTCCTGACAGTCCCCTCCCTTCTATTATGCCCTTAGGGGTAACAATTTTTTGTAACACCCTCGGTGCACCCCTACGCGGGAGTTTGTGTTTGAATGTTGGCAACACTACGTTATGATTGGAATCGTTCCGCTATTTTGCCGAGCGGTGGGATAATGGTGAAATATGATTTAGTAATTTACTGACTTTTCTTTTTGTTTGTTCCCTACCTACAGATAATTTTATTTTTGTAGTACCTATTAGGGAAAATCTTCCTTTTAATTTATAGTCCAGTCGGAATAGCCATAATTTGGACCGACTTCTATTCTAAGACACCAGCGCTTAGCCAATTTTTTCCTAGGTAGTATAGACCCCCACGAATATGACCTCCATTTGTCCCCGCTAGAACCCGTGTTTTGTAGCCAGGAAAATTGTTTAAACAAAGAAAAACCGGTTTTTTTGAGTTTTTTTGCTTGTAAACGGGGATTTTGAAATTTTTTTTGAATCAAAGTTGTTCATTAGCATGCCCTCTACAAAATCAGTTCTATGAAAAAATAACGTGAGATTGTTAGTTTAGCAGTAAATTGCAATTGTGTCGGTTTTACGTTTGCAACAATTCAACATGTTATAATAAACATTTTGATTTCTAAAGTAGTTTATCATGTGGGTAACGCCACTCCCAAGAGAGTCATGTAAAATTTATCGATCTGTGTCGCAAACTTTAGCAACAATTCTCAATCTCCGAAAAAAAAGTACTTGCCTGTCCCGTCTTTCCCAGAAGGCGCACAGCGGGAAAAAAAATTCAGGTGATTCGATTCACCAAGAATTTTGAGGAATCGTTGTAGAAAAAAATCGTTAA